GCTTATCTAATAGCCGTTTAAACGCCCCTAGCCGTCTCCACTACCCTCTCCGGCAATGCATTCCATGCCCCTACCACTCTCTGAGTAAAGAACCTACCTCTGACATCTCCCCTATATCTACCTCCACTCACTTTAAAACTACACCCCCTCGTAATAGCTACCTCCACCCTAGGAAAAAGTCTCTGGCTGTCCACTCTACCTGCACCTCTGATCATTTTGTACACCTCTATCAAGTTGGACTTCCGTCATCAAAGTGTGCCACAAAGGCACAGCATTCACTTTTGAGTTCTGCCAATCCTTCTCCCAAGCAAATTTTTGTTTTTAAACAATCCCCAGTTGTTCTACTTCTTGCTGAAGCATGCTTTCACCATTTGTAAACACTACCACAGAATTGATGGAAGCAGAGGTACAATCTGGAATGCATGCTTCTAAGTCGCAAAAAAATTAGCACCAACTGACAATTGTCAAGGTCAGCAAAACTTTGAAACCTGTCAGCCCTGTTCAATCTGGCTAAAATGGCTAAATAAGATCTACATCTAAGAACCTGTTACAATTGTGTGTATAAAACTGTTTCAGCCTGTCTCTTTACATTTAGGTTAATATGAAGTGAGTCATTCGACTATTCTAAATCAGACCCGACAAGCTTGGCTATGTCATGGGGCCTGCTCATCAAGTGTGTAGTTAGCACTGACACCTGGGAACAAAAGGCAAAAGCAGCTGTGCTAACAATACACAGACCTGTCAGCTTCAAAACTTTTGTAAGAAAAGAAATGAAAGACATGTAAAGAACAACAGCTGGTGTAATCAGCAGAAAGAAACTCCTGGTTCTTTACAAGCTACTGATGCAGGAATTAGATGGTTTCTATTTAGAGATGCATTCCACAGTGAAGGGTATCTGGGAGATTGCTCCTGGTGCTGCTGAGTGCAAGAAGAATTATTACAATGGGTTTTGCTGCAGGAATGGATTTTGGAAACTCTTAAAACTGATTGGAAGTACCTGGAAATTGTCATTTAAAGTCACTACTAGGTAAAATGGGGATGGGGTGTGGTGGGGGAGAAGGCACTGGAAGCTGAAAGAGATTATGGACTATTTTCTGAGAGGACTATAATTCTGTGTAGACTCAGATGTTGTACTTATATCAAAAGTTTAAACGGCAGAAAGGAATGATCTTTTAAGTTCCCTACAAAAAATGTTTAGCGTTTTTAATCATGGTACAATAAAAGGTTAGTGATGTGAAATCTTGCTTTGTTATTCTTCTCAACTATTAACTGGAAGTTCAAATTTATTTTTGAAAGTTATCACTCTCCACGGGGATTTTAAGAAAACCCTATGTCATCTGAATTCTTCAATTTCCTTCTCATGATATCCTCATTTATAAAGATATAACTCTCATCACTCCAGCTTCTAACTAGCAATTTTAAGTAATTTCCGATGAATAGACGTTAGAACTTTTCTATTTGGATATTCAATTCTAGGATTGAAAAAAGAATTAGATTAAGCTGGAATCCCCGACTTTATTAGATCCCAGGATCCACAAAGAAATTAAACGGCTAACTTTGCAAGTTTTTTTTGCAATAAATAATAGCAACTCTCTGAATGAGGAAAAGGGTCCAATGCACCCCTTAAAACCAAAAGGTTTGAATTTTAAAATATTTATTCATTTAGCTTTTAGGTAGATTACCCACCTTTAATTGCTTACCTTTCTCATCTTATTACCAATAAATTTCACTCCAAAGATAAATTGGGGTTCTATACTTGAAAGATAGTGACAAGATCAAAATCTTACAGCTTTTTTGGGAGACCGCCAAAGATATTACGAGTATCACTGGTAAGGAACCTCAAACATGTGAATGCTGGGCTAGATGATACAGACTTCATCCTTTGAACGCAAGTTCAATTTCTCTTGAACAAATTGGCCATCTTCTAAACTTGAGAACCAAGGTAAGGTCATCTGATGAACTTGCTGCATCCTACTGCAGTTTACTTTATCTGGTGGAGGTGGTGGTTATGGATGTGAGACTAATTCCACCTTCTTTGAATAAAACCCAGTGTTTTCTGGAATAATATGACATAATTGAAACAAGTTAGTTTACCTACAACAGAAAATGAACTGAAGCAATGCAAATGGAGAAAAGGGATATTTTCTCTGAAGGTATCCACTAGTCAGGCCTGATTGACCCCAACGTAGTCAGGATATTCACAGGCTGAGACAGGTTTTTCAGGACATAGATGCAAAATCCAAAAATAAAGATATTATAGTTTTCTTGCTCCTCCTCACTGGCAAAACCCAGCTTTTTCAGAATGGATATCATTCATTTGTACAGAATGCTAGTAGGAGAGTTTCTAACCCAAATGATGCACTAACAACTTGCATTTAGATATTTTTAATTAATCTATTCAGACACACCTCTGGAACAGGTGAAACTTGAACCCAGGTCTTTGAGCCCAGAAATAGGAACACTGCACCACAACAGTCCTACACAATTGGAATTTATATTGACACAGAAAAACAAGAAGAGATATAAATAGGCAGAGGCTCATATACTGGAATGGCAGAGAAGCGAAAATTTTAAATCATGAATTACGGATATTGGGATTGGGATTTAGCCAAACGCACTGCTCCTAGGACCTAATAAATGAGAAGGAAGATGTACAAAACACTGGAGTCAGGGGAACACAAAATTTGGGAGGTGGTCTACAGGGCTTGAAATTGGATCAGAGAAGTGTGTGATCATGGAGAGATTTAAACATTATGCAAGAATTTTACAATGAAACACTGGGGGCTGGGCAGGGAATAGATGATGTTTGTTCAGCAGAAAATTTACTCATGAGCCACAGTTTACAGAAGGTAGGAGATGAAGTTATTGACTCAGTGACAAAGTATGGATGGGCATTTTAGTAGCACAGTGGTGAAAATACGCAAACTTTGAAATGGCGTCATTACTTGATGGGCCTTGTTGATCAGAATGCCAAGGTTGTAAACAGTCTATTTCAACCATGGAAGGGATGGAATCCAGAGATGATTTGAAGATAGTAGTGGTGATAAATTTTGGCACAAATACTTCAATGGCCAGATAATTGTTATAGCAACACAGACTATATTGTGCATCAGGATCCTGCAGAATCCCAGATCTGTGGGAACTGCCTGGGAAATTGAAGATTTCAATAGGTCATTCCCCTGCATCTGGAATTATCCAAAAAATAAATCCTGAACACCAGAGGATGCAGAGGGATCTCATTTAAGTTACAGAGGAAAAGTCAGACAATGACATACTAGTCTAATTCCTGGTTAATTATTGCCCCCAGCATGCCATACAACCTTCCCCAAACCTGGTACACCCCTGACCAACCTTCCCAATCTAATATAACTCTGTTCCTGTCCCAGTACTGACATTCCCCATCCCAGTCCAACCTACCATGAGCACTCCAGTAGTTACCTGGAACCTCAATCCCTCAACCAATTGCCACAATAACCCCACACATAGCTTACGTACTTACCTTTTTGCAGCAGCTGTTAAAGCATTTGGTTGTGTTGCTGAATGTTTAAACTTGAGTACACAGCTGAATGACTGCTGCAAAAGGGAGCATTCTGAATTCCCCTGACTATCCTGCACTTTGTGGGAAGTGTGTTGTTTTCAGCTCCACATTTCTTAAGGAACTAGATTGGAGTTCCTGGCTGGAAATGCAGAGCTTATATAAACACTTAATACTATGAACATTTTAATAAAAGCAGGTCATGATAAAACCACAGGTAGAAGAAACACAGATCTGAAAACTACAAATATCTGTATATCTGCACAGCTATGTTGATAACAAGCAAGTGAAAGCAGCCAGCGAGAGGTTAGTCATATATTTCAGAAAAAGCTTACAAAACATCTTTAAAATTCTAGTTTTTTTTTTACCAATTCAAATTAACTATACAAGCTTAGTTTACACCCACACTTTTCAACAGAACCAGTTATTCCTGGGTAGCATGGTATTGTGTCCTAAGTCATCAGCTTAAGATTTCAATGCAAGTCTGCTCGAACCTAATAACACTGGGCTAGGACCCCATATGCAACTGAATTCCTTCAGTACCTCATCCAAGTGGCCATTCTTGATGGACACTTGTGCACAATGAGCAGCACTGGCTGTTCCAACAATGGAAGTACCAGGGCCAAGATGAATACTGTGCAATGTCCAGCTATACCAGCAGGATTACTGGATAGGGTTCATGAGTAGAAACCCTGGCTGAACTTTCCCCTTTTCTAACATAGGAGCTAAGAGGCCAAATACGGCAGTCTACTGCAATCCCAAGTTCCAATTAACTAATCAGTGGGGCCTGGCAATGATGACTTCAGGGAAAACAAAAAAATAAGCAGAGTGCAAAATTGCACACTGTCTTGTCAAATGAACACTTTGACACATTAAAGATAGTATTTTTGAGATACTAATTTTAAAGAAAATAACTACCAAATCTATCATAGAATTAATTCTGTGATTAACTGCATTCATTTCAATTCAGTCAGTTTTTGCACATATTGGGAAAGTACTCCTAATTTGGAATTTTAAGTCAACTCTGCAGAAGTGTAATCATATTCAGAACTGTAGGTTACAATTTAGTGAATAATTTACCAATGATGATACAATTTATTCAACTGAGGCATACACAATTCTGGTAAACCCAAGGCCTGTTAAACTCTCAAAAGAAAATAGGGTAAATGCATCAGGTAGAAACTTTGAGTTGCTGGCATTTTCTGCTTTATTTCAAATTGCCAGTATTTGTAACTGCTTTTAGTCAAAATTCTGCTGACTGATGTACTCCATCTACATCAAAGCACTAAGTAATCTCCCAATTTTCTTAACCATTTTCCCTTAAGTGTCAAAGGAAGTATTTTTTTCAACATGAACCTTTGTACAAAAACCATAAAATAAATTGCTAATGACTGTATTTTCACCTTCCGGAGATACTGACAGGTCATTTAATAACATTTTTACTTTACAAAAATCACGAAGGGAATTAACTTGTAAAATTATTTTAATGACTCAAAATATCTTCAACATTCTGGATACTGAAATGCAAAAATAGCAAGGGAAGAGTTTGGCTCTGAAATATACTCCCAGGACTTGTATCACTCATCATTCCCAAAACAAACCAAACCTTGAATGTTTCTCTACAATAAGCATAGGAAGAGATAAATACTTTTCCACCAGAACTCTCAAATGGTACAGCAACCAAGCTACCTGATAAAAGCAGGAAACAGCATATTAAGTTCACCCCTCCAAAATATATCATAGCAAACAGCTCAAGGCTTAAGGGAAAACGTGACCATGTTGTTAGACATGTAGTCTAAAGCATAAATCCCTGCGACACAAGACTTCCACCTTAAATAATAACATGATACCATTGAATGAAATACTCCACAGACACCACTGATAGTTTCAGCTTTGAAATATGTATTGTCTTTTATCCCCAGAGTGCTAGAACCTATCATCACGGGCTAAGTAAGCATGTGTCAAGGATCCTTGCAGGGCATATGTGACATTTAAATGCCTCAATTAATTTGCATAGATTGTGATTTTCTAATGAGGATTAATCCATGAACACACACCTTCCCAAGCCAAGAAAATTCAAACTGGACAAATCATTATGTAACAACTGCAAATAGCATTGAGCTGCTGGGCTTGGATGGCTGGACTCTGGTGCTTCATGTAGTTCCAGAGCTGCTGATGAGCTACCCTCTGAATTGTATCCCAGTCAGGTATCAACACTGCAAGGAGGAGGAGGAATTTTATTTGGGTGGGTAGGTTGGGGATGGAGAAGAATGGTTGGTAGGGGGCAGTGGGGTGGGGTTGTCAAGGGAATATATTTTGACCATCAGACTTTTAAAACAAGAGGTAGATTTTAAACATGAGTTTGCACTTTAGATTCTACAATTATTTTATACTGAATGTCTCTTTCCACATAGTAAATCACACACAAAACATTTTAAATTCTATATTGTGCGAATGGATATTATGCAGTTACCATATGTAGCAGATTTTACAACATAAAAATATATAGGAAAAACAAAGGCACAATGAAATTCAACTCATTCTTCAGGCAGAAGAGCTGAAATGAGCCACCTTAAAGAGAGATTTTAATTTAAAATTTATAAAAAGGATATAAATAACCGAGGCCAAAACACTATTCGTATCATTAAAACAGTTTCATCAGCAAGTAAAAATCTTGCAGTTTTATATAAGCTTGTATCCTTTAAAGATACAAGATATGGTAGTCTTTAAAGTGGCTCAGTCTTGACGGCAAGGTATTAAGATGGATATAAACCTGCACAATTTTGTTCATCAATGAGAAACAACTCATCAGCAGAGCTTGATTGCATTTTTCAGATTCAATTACAGTAGATACTGCCCACACTTGTTAACTAAATTAGCTCAAATGCAATCTGTCCCTTTACATTAATGCATGAGGGGAAGTTTACATCCAGTCACCACAGCAACAAACCCCATCCCTGAATAGTGTCACCTAGTCTAATACCTACGAAAAAACCTCCCGGTGCGTATTAAATACAGTAAATAAAGCATTCAACATTAACGGACCAGATGTACACTTAACTGTAAGTCTCTGTACAGCCTTATACAATGCTTACATTCCCTGTAAAGATTTACACTCCTTTTCGTACATTTTACTCCTTTTCAAATTTGCTTCTAATCATTTGAATAAAAAGTGTGGCTTTAGATTCTTCTCAATAATACTCAAGTCCATGACCAAATCTTAATAAAATAGCTGCTAGTTCTCAGCTATCAGCAGTATCCACAGTAAGGAACGGTCAATTTACGATGCACGACTGTGTAAGACTGTGTGTCACTGCAAACATGGAAGCTCCACAGTTTAAACCCATTAAAAGTCCAACAATTTATTTTACTACTGGATTGGCTTAACCTGAAATTAAAAAAATACTGATTCACCTAATAGTTGGAAGCAAGATTCGCAGCAGATTAAATGGTTAATTTTAAGTTTTTATCATGTGTACAGACTCTGATTTACCTAATGGAGCGAAAAACTTGAATGTGAACATGAAATGTGGGTGAATCTTGCTTTCAGCTTAAAGCAGAGGCTCAAGTCACATCGATATAATAATTGCAGCTCAGGTAAAACACCATGCACAGCATTTGATAAGTACTTCGAAAGAGCAGGGAGAGAAAATTAAAACACAGGTTCCTAATAGTGGTTGTAGTAATCGGCTGGGGCTCTTTTTCACAGACTTGCACAAACTGTCAAGAAGTCGTGGTTAAACTTGGCTCCTTCATTAAGTTTAGTTTCCAGCCTAGTCTGAGAGGCAGTGCAAGCACAACAACCTAATATGGATGCAAGCAGGACTTTTTTTGTTAGACCACCCTATAGCAAAAAAATGTTTTTGCAGTTACCAGAAAAAAAATCCTGGTTTTAGTTCATCCATGGACCGCTCTGGCCAATGATGGTTCTACGGTATTTGCAAATCCTTCTATCGTAAGCCCCGGTGTAAAATCTTCTAAGAAGCCTATTTCACACATCAAAGCCAAGTCTCTTTGCAAGTCCCATTATTAAACTTCTAATCGTTCAGAAATCTTTCTGTTCTATGTAGACAGCTACTATCTTGTGTGCCTAATATGCAACGTTGTAAGTGAGACTGCTACTGCTGTCACAGGAATGAGGTACCAGGGAGGGAAAGGCAGAATCACAGGTAATGTTGGGGATTACTCTAGTTTGTTGATATGATAGTTACTCATGGGCTCACAAGAATCATGCACACGTGTCAACAATCCCTGTGGTAGCAAATTTTGGCAATTGCTGAGTGATTGATAATTAGGCTTTTCAAAAAGCATCAAATGTAGATGCGCAGATGTCTCTCGAGCCTCCATCACACTTCTGCTTGGTGAATTTTTTTGGTGGTTTGGATTGGCAAGGGGCAGGGAAGCTACAGCATCTTCTCAGTTTAGAAATTGAACTCCTTTGCTTGAATGTTCGCTGTGGGGTCAAAACTGAAAGTTCCAGCTTGTGTCGCTTCAGGAAGGAGACTTGGATCTTCATCAATCTATTGAGAAGAGATAGAATTTAAAAAAAGCATTATCCTGTACTGTTTGAAAGTGGTTAATTCAGGAAACATTTTGGATAATCTAAATTGTCTCATAACTTCATGGTGACCATTAACAGATGCCTGGGGCTCTTCACACCTCAGTCAGCATCTATAAACTATCAGACATTGAGCTACGGCTTCAAGCTTTAGTCTGAAACCTTAGACAAGATGAAAACCCCATTTTCACTGCTTCCTATTCAATTATACTCCGGGAAAAATGGAATTTAGACCTACTGAGGAACTGGAATGCTGAGAACAATCCAAAGTAGTTGATGCCTTTTCGCTACATCAAGCAGACATTCATTGCCATTTGTTAACCAACAAATGTTAAGAGGTGAAACTAAACTTTAATTATTTTCATAGGTAGCAGACTATTGAGGGGTCTCCTGTCATAAGTACCAACATTTGAGATGCCGAAAACGTTAGATTTAACATAAACCTTGGTTCAAGATATACCAAGGTAGGTCGTAAACATCGTTTTGCCCAGCACCAAAATTTGTCCTCAACCACCTCCCTGCAATGGCTGAAGAGCTCCTCCAGAGGTCACAATGTGGATTTGGCCTATATTATTTGCCTATATTGGACTATTAGGGGCGGCACTGTGGCTCAGTGGTTAGCACTGCTGCCTCACAGCGCCAGAGATCCGGGTTCGAATCCACCCTTGGGCGACTGTCTGTGTGGAGTTTGCACATTCTCCCCTTGTCTGCGTGGGTTTCCTCCGGGTGCTCCGGTTTCCTCCCACAGTCCAAAGACGTTACATGGGTTGGCCACAAGAAATTGCCCGTAGTGTTCAGGCATGTGTAGATTAGGTGGGTTATAGGGGAATGGTTCTGGATTGGATGCTCTGAGGGTTGGTGTGGACTTGTTGCGCCGAAGGGCCTGTTTCCACATTTAGGGATTCTATATTCTATGATTATCCGGGAGGCACAGTTGATATGATCTGCACAAATTCAAGAAAAGTGCAGACAGCAGGAGCAGCCTCTATACATGGCCTTCCTTCTCTTCACAAAGGCCTTCAACTTTTGTTTCCTAAAGGGACTGTGGAGTGCCCTCAAGTTTGTTTGTCCACGGAAATTCATCACTGTTCTCTGTCTGTTGCACAATGGTATGCAAGCCCAGATCCTCACCGACAGTTCCACCATAGACCCAATAAATGTGTAACCTGGGGTCAGCAAGGCTGCGCCATCAGAACAATGCTCTTCTTCTCCACCTTCCTTAGGGTAATTTTGCCCCCATATCCATTAAACTTTCCTCTAGTGTGAAGCCAAACTACAGGACAAGTAGGAAGCCTGTGCTACCTTCATTCCAGGACCAAGGTCACATCTAACCCTGTCAATGAGCTACAGTGCTCAGAAGATGCTTGCATATGCACATACAGGCTGAGTTCTAAGCTACTGTCAATACATTCATGGAGGCATATGAAAGAATAGTCCGTGGGCTAAACATCTGGAATACAAACAGCCTCTACCAGCCTCCTCCCACTGCACAATACTGACCCCCCCAACTATCAAAATCCATGGCAAGTCACTGCACAAGGTTGATCAATTCTCATACCTTGGCAGCCTTTACTTGATAATGAAAGCAAAATACTGCAAATGCTAGAAATCTGAAATACAATCAAAGTGCTTGAGAAACTTAGCAGGGCTGACAGCATCTGTAGAAAGTGAAATAGAGTTAAGGTTTTGAATTTGATACGACTCTTCAGAATTTAGAACTTTATTTCTGAAGAGTGACATCGGACTCGAAACTTGAACAATTTCTCGTTCCAAAGATGCTGCCAGATGTGGTGAGTTTCTCCTACAGTACGTGGCTACATAAATGCAAGATTTTTAAAAATACAAAGGGATTGGAGTTTAAAGTAAAGTATTACTTAAATCTATGCACTGATCAAAGCACATTTGGTGTACCATTCATTCAGTTTTGATCATCTTAATTAAGAAAGGTCATATTTGACTTAGAGCTAGTGCAATGAAGGTTCACCAGATGATTCCTGGGATGAGGATGCTGACCAATAACGACAGATTGGCCTATACTCTCTGTAGGTTAGAAGAATGAGGGGTGAACTTAAAATCCAACAAGGTAGATGCTGGGATGTCTTGAACTGGGGTCACAGTTTCAGACTAAGGTGCAGGTCATTTAGGATGAGACGAGGAGCCATTCCATTACTGAAAGGTCTGAATGTATGGGATTGTCTATCCTAGAGAGGTGTGCATACTCAGTCATTGAGTGCATTCAAATCACAGATCAACAATAATTAGTAAATAATGCAATCAAGATTTATGGGATTAGTGCAGGTGGTATCATTGACGTAGAAGTTCAGCCATGATTTTTACTGAATGCTAGAGTAGGCTTGAGAGTCCAATGGCCGACGTATGCTTCTTAGGTTTATATAACAAATGTAAAACTTTAACTTCATCTTAAAAAATTGATTCAGAAATAGTAGGAACTGCCGATGCTGGAGAATCTGAGATAACAAGGTGTAGAGCTGGAT